CAGTTAACTATGAATTGCTTATGCTTTATTCAGATGGTGTGTTTTTTGAATTATTTTTCTTCAGTGTATTTATTGAATATATTTATGCAGAATGCTCAGAACCAGTATCCATCACTGCTCAATAAATGTTAGCTCCTTTGTATATGTAATGTGAAGCATGAAAATTGCATCCATGAAGGTTTTCATCGTTATTTTTTTTTTTTTTTTTGTGGTACTGGGGCTTGAACTCAGGGCCTTCTCCTTGAGCCACTCCACCAGTCCAATTTTTTGTGATAGGTTTTCGAGATAGGGTCTCATGAACTCTTTGCCTGGGCTGGCTTTGAACTGTGACCCTCCTGATCTCTGCCTCCTGAGTAGCTAGGATTACAGGCATGAGCCACCGGCATCAGTATTTAAAATGAAATTTGTCCCTTTTATGATCATGTTTTACAATATTTCTTGGTTTTTGCTTGGACGCTTTTATCTTTGTCATAGAGTATACTATTGAAGTTATTTGGGGAGGGGTGATTTCATTAAGTTCGATATTATATTGGTATTCTTTAATAGTTCTTGTGCTTTGATGCAAATAAAAACCTTTTCCTCTTTGATCTCCTAAATCTAAATTGCTATACAGATAGAAGGCAAGATTTTTTTTTGTCTGACACATTACAATAACAAACATTGGTAATTCCTTGTTGTGTTGGGCTGTCTTATACAATTATTTAGGTTTTCTTTTTTTAAACTAGGCCACATAGACAATATTTTAGCCTCCTTGGGCAAGAGTTAAAATTGAAGCTATTGTGTGGATGTTTATAAAATATTTCAGGGCTGGAGTGTGACTTATGTGGTGAAGTGCCGGCCTAGCAAATGCAAGGTATTGAGTTCAAACCCCAGTGCCACACACACATGCACAAAAATTAAGATTTCATATGCAGTCACTTAATAATGTGAAAATTAGTTTTAGCTTGTGAACTGTAATAAAAAGGCAGCTGGCTAAACTTATCCTGCAGACCATAGTTTGTTAACCTCTCATCAATAGCATGGTTGATTTAATGAAATCAGTGAAAAAAAGCTTAGACATTCATATTATCATTATTTTTGTTATAGGAATTATTTTAGCATTTACCTTTTTTTTTTAGCATTTATATATTTTTAAATGCTTTCTGTGAGTTAGGCACTGTGCTCAATATTTTATTTGAATTATTGCAAATGTTTTCTCCCAGTCCATGGCATTTTTATTCATTCTATTAATATTTTTAAGAGCAGAAGTTCTCCTCTTAAAGTTAAATTCATCAGATATTATAATGCATCATGTTTTTATATATCTAAGAAATCTTTGCTTAACCCATGGTCAAAGATTTTCTGTAACCATTTGGAGAAGTTTTATAGTTTTAATTTTAAAATTTAGATCTACAGTCTCTTTGAAAGTTTTTATATATGATATGAATTATGGACAAAGTTTATTTTATTGCATATGGTGTTTGATTACTCTAGAATCATTTGTGGAAAAGACTTCTCTTTTTTCTTTTGTAGTTTAGTCAAAAATGCTTTTTAAAAAAGGAGAATAGAGGGAGTTAATCTGATTAAAACACAGTATATTCATAGGCCAACATTGAAAAATGAAGGACTGAATGTAAAACAGGTCCTATGAGGGGTAGGTATTAGTGGGAGGGGAAAGGGTGAATGGAGAGGGTGAAAGAGAGCAAATATGGTTGATGTACTTTATATGCTTGTATAAAAATAGATCAGTGAAACCTGTTGAAATTGTTTTGTAGGAGGGGAGTGGAATAAGGGAGAATGATGGTGAGGGTGAATCTATCTAAGGCACATTATAAGCATGTATGGAAATGTCACAGTGAAACCCTCCCTTCCCCCCATACAACTAATATATGTGAATAAAATGTTTAAAAATGCTTTAAACCATAAAGGTATGGGGCTATTTCTGGACTCTTTTCTATTCCTTTGATCTATGTTTCTTATGCCAGCACCATATTCTTATGATTACTACAGTTTCATAATAAGTTCTAAAATTAAGTAATATGACTACTCCAGTTTTGTTCTTTTCTTTTTGGCAGTGCTGGAGTTTGAACTTAGAGCCTTGTGCTTGATAGGCAGGTGATTTACTGCTTGAGTTATGTACCAGCTGTTCTTAGTTTATTTTACTTCTTGTATTTCTGTATATATTCTAGAAGCAACTTTTCTCTTTCTCCAAAAATATTCTGCTGGAATTTTGATTGGGAAGATTATAAAACTATGATTGAATTTTGAAGAGAATTGATATCTCGACAATAATGTTTTGATCCATAAATATTGAGCCTTTCAAATCATGAACAGTGGATATCTTCATTTACTTAGTTCTCTGATTTCTTTCACATGTGTGTATGTGTGTATATATATTTTACATACAGACTTTATATTTTGTTGTATTTATCCCTGTGTATTTTTCTTATATATTTTTTCCTTGCCTTTCTTTTGTTTTTTGTATTTTGATTTTTAAATGTTAGGTTTTTAAAGTCATTTTTAGTAGTTCTTTGCCATAAAAATAGTTGATTTTTATATATTGATCTTTATCTTGTGACTTTCTTAAATTCATGTACTAGTTCTAGTAGTTTCATTGTTAGGTACTTTGGGATTTTCTATACTCAAAAATCATATCATTTAAATAGAAATATCTTATTTCTTCCTTTCTTAGTTTGTCTACTTTTTTCCCCCTCTTATTGTAGTGGTCAGTACAATACTGGTGCCTGTTTCTAGTCTTAGAGGTAAAACATTTTCACTATCAAGTATGTTAGTGGTTAGGAATGTTAGCTGAAACATATCATGTTGAAAGAGATCCCTTTTATTGCTAATTTGATAAATTTTTATGATGAATGGATAATGAATTTTATCAATAACTTTATCTGTTGATGAGATTTCTGTATCCTTCCTTTTTTTTAAAACCCGGGATGCTGGCTGGCCTTGAACTTGTGATCCTTCTGCCCTAATCTCCCTAGTGTTGGGATTACAGTCGTGAACCACCATATGCATATGCAGTTAAGATATTTTAGTTCTTGTGGTGACTACTGAAACAGCTTTGTATTCTTAGGATCAACCCTACTTACTCATGATGTATTTTCCTGAGAATTTGATTCTCAGAAGAAAAGAAGCTTGCCTCCCTCTCTCTCTACTTTTCTTCCCTCGCTCCCTCCCTCTTGAAAGTGTAGTGTTCTGAGAATAATAGAATAATAGCTATTCAATTAGGGTATTGCCTCTCCTTTCAGGCTATAAATCTCCATTTTTTTTTCTTTTGGTGGTACTAGGCTTTGAACTCAGGGCTTTGTGCTTGTTAGGCAGTCACACTACTACTTGAACCATGTCTCCAAGCCCTTTTTGTTTTGGTTATTTCATAGATAGGGTCTTACTTTTTGCTCAGGCCAGCCTGTACTGCAATCTTCCTATTTTGTGCTTCATACAGTAGCTAGGATAACATGCCTGTGCCACTACACCAGCTTTTTTCCATTGAGATGGGTTCTCATGAACTTTTTGTCTGGGCTGGCCTCTAACCATTATCTTCCTGATCTCAACCTCCCAAATAGCTAGGATTTCAAGCATGAGCCACTGGCACCCTGTTTCATGTGAAAATCTTACTGTCTGTATGACATCACTAATTAAAATGTAATTTATCCATTCAGTCTTCAGTGTCAAATCAGCATTTGAGTTTTTCTAAATACACACTCTTTGGCCACTTCCCTGGAGATTCTGATTCATTAAGTTTGTAGCGCAATAAATAACCTAAATGCCTACCCCTCATCCTAACATGTCCTGCCTGAATTCAGGTAATTATCCGTGGTCTGAGAGATACAGAACAAATGTGACAGGAAGATTGTGTGGTTAATGCTATTTGAAGGTTTCTAGTTTAGTTGTTACCACAATTGTACTAACTTGACCAGGACTCAGCCCCTCTCCATCTCCCCAGCATTTTCTGCATAGGTTCATTTTTCTCGAAGTTGTCTATCTGAATCACCGACTCATTTCTTAATTGAATAAGAAATCAATGGTTTCTTATTCATAACCAGTTCAACAAGTATCAGAACTTAATATTAGCATCTCACTTTCTTTATTGTGTTTAAGGACAAAATATTTTTTTCACCTTTTCTTACTGAGGTACGTCATATATTAGATAAAGTGCTTAAAGTCTACCAGTCCTGAGCTTGAACTTTTCAAATGTATATTTGTTTAAACACAATATAGTCAAGACATGGAAAATTTCCAGTTTCATAGTAGATCCTAATGTTCTTTCCCAGTCACTAACCCACCCTCTTTTCCTGAGTTAACTCCTGTTCTTCTGTCTAGCACCATAGATTAGTTTTGACTGTTTTCAGACTAAGTATATAAGTTGAGTTATGCAGTGTAGTCTCATGTATTTATATTTTTAATGATTTTTGTGGCCAGGTCTTGTTGAGTTATTTAATATCATTATTTCTGACTCTAGACTGAGAATGCATCTAAACCAGAGCAAATTCAGTTGACTTTTATATTTTGGTACTGTGGTTTGAACTCAAGGTCTCACACTTGCTAGGTAGACAATCTACTACTTGAGCCACTCCATCAACCTTTGTTTATATTGAGTATTTTCAAGATAGGGTTTGTTGAACTTTCTGCCCAGGCTGGCTGCAGACTGTGATTCTCCTGATCTCTGCATCCTGAGTAGCTAGGATTACAAGTGTGAGCTCATTTTATATTTTTCTTAGCTGAGTTCTTCAAGGAATGCCCTTATTTTTCATATTTCTTTTCCAACTTTAAAACTTTCAGTCATTCCCTGCTTTAGCCACTCAAATTGTCTGTTGTTTATTTCCACAGGTTGTTTTTGCCCTAGCTCCCCTTTCCACATTTCCTTCTATCAGTACAGAGATGAAAAGCAGGTTTCAAAATTTTTTTTTTGTTTTTTGCCATGCTAGTATTTGATCTGGTGTTGAATTTAAGTTGAAGTGAATATCTACAGTTGTCTTAATCTTGTGCTTTTCTTCTGTTTTTTCTGACAGCATGATGGAAGTGGGTCATTACATGATGTTCAGCTATCATTGCCATCCAGTCCTGAGCCAGAAGATGGGGATCAAATATATAAGGTATGACTAGGTAGTCATGCTGAAGATTCCAAAATTCTTATTACTGAAATAATAAAGCAATAACAATTAAAATTGTAAAGGAATTAAAAAGTAAAGCTTTGTTCTCTTGGAAAATAATCAGGTTGCGCTTAACTTTTGCTACGTTGTTAAGTAAGTGATACCCTTGTGATGCTTTGAGTTTATCAGTTAGATAATAACATGTCCATCTGTTACTACTGGTGCTTACTTGTTCATAATCATGAATAAAAATTGTAATATGGTTGTCAATAAAAATTAGGATAGTGATAGGTACTTAAATAATCACAGCACTGAAGAAATATAATAAAGTGAATTTATCTTATTTTTTATGTTAAAAATATAATTATAGAATCCAATTTAGTGATTATTTAGTGAGGTTTTTTTTTAAATACTTCTCTTTAGATCCATTTTTAGTTGAAAGCCCTTTTTGCAGCTATTTCTTAAGTATACAAATATTCTTTATTTAATATTTTCAAATAAAGTTATTGTTGACTTTTATATCCTCTCTGGGGTTATACTAGCTAGCGTTTGCTAGTCATCTGTAGTAACAAATAACCTCAGAACAATAGTGGCTTACAATAACAAAAGTTAATATCTCTTATGTCACACATTGGCTGTAGAGCAGCTGAAATTCTACTTCACATGTCTTCATTCTGAGAGCCAAACTGAAGGATGAGCCCCTATGGCAGCACATGCTGTTGTGCAGAAGGAAAAGAGCTTTGCTGAATCACATGTAATTCTGCTTGGATGTGGCATGTGTTACTTCCAAAGCAGATGGTATTAGCTGTGTCGAGAATCATAATTTCTTATAGAATGCTGAGTCACTTTTGGGGAGCAAGATTGTATATAAATGGCCTTTCCATTTATTTCCTACCTGCCCTTGCTCAAGTTGTTTCCCATTTTTGGGCTTCCACCCCACTATTAGTATAATAATATTCTATGTCAGCAGGTTTGCAGCAGACTATTGGTTTTACTTAAAAGTTTCACATACATACCTAGTTGAAAACCAGTGACTTAAATGAAATCTGAGAATCTCTCGATTTTTTAGTCATGTGACTATCCCCTCCCCCCAAGTTGATCTTTTCCTGAAATGTTGTTAGTGAAAACACATTTTACATGTAAAGAAATTATTTCTAAAGAAAATTCTTAATATTTTTTTTGCATAGCTAACATTTTCATTGTTTTTCCGTATTCCTTTCTAGTTTGCTGTATGCTTAATGTTACATGATACATATATTATTCTATGATATTTCTTGTATCTTTTCCTTTTTCCTTTTATGCAAATCATCCCTAGATTTTTCTTCTTTATTCAAGCTAAAATGAAATAGCTCATACTGTTTTTTTTCTGTATAATACAATAGTCTTTTTGAACCTTCAACAGTTGTCTTACCTTCTCATCCAAATAGCATAATTTCAAGCAACACAAATATGATGACTTATGCCATTACGTATTTAGGCTCTAAGATCTCCACTATAGCTGCCAGTCTCTGTTCTACTCTTTTTGTGTGGGAGTGGGTGTCGGGGAGGGACTGGGGTTTGAACTCAGGGCTTTATGCTTACAAATCAGTTACTGTATCTCTTGAGCCACACCTCCATTTTGCTCTAGTTATTTTTTAGAGAAGGGTCTCAGGAACTGTTTGCCAGGGCTGGCCTTGAACTGAAATCCTCCCAGTCTCAGCCTCTCAAGTAGCTAGGATTACAGGCATGAGCCATTGGTGCCCGGCCTCCAGTCTGCTCTTGTATTTATCTCCTGTTCCCTGGTGAGCTACTTCAAACATTGATCATTCTTTCAAGCCCCATATTGAACTATGTTTCTCAACCCCTATAGGTAGCCTTGTGTTTATCAAGCAAAAATACTCTATTTCCCTTTTTGCCTGCTAACCTCCGCGGACCTGTCTCATTCTCATTTACTTTGTTCCATGTATAAGGGAAAAGTGTCAGTTGTATTGTGGAAGAGTACCGTTTCTTTGTTCTTAACTATGTTCTGTTTCTGCTTAAGAATCTAACATCATCCTTCTCCTTGCTCATCTGTACTTAGTGTGCTTTATCTTCATTTTTAGATTATAAGTTTGTATATCTCACTTATGTTAAATTCAGTAAATCACATTAACTTTTTCTTGATGTTTTTAAAACCCCTTTCTGGTTGATGAAGAAACCTAGAAAAATGATAACCTGTAAGACACTTGGGGTTGTCTTTTTCTTAGAAGCTTTTGCTTTTATACTTCTGGAGTCTTTCAAACCTCTCAACATTTTCCCCTTACTTACTTTGTAGGTTTCCCTTCTTTAAATGTTAGATTTATATCTTTAGTTCAGTCCTCTTTGAACTTTTTACAATAATGGATTTATGTATGATATATGTGGATAGCATGTAAATTTTTTTCTCTCATATTTATCCACTAGACATTTCTGTACCACATGTACGTATTTCTAACATTTATTTAAAATGTACACATACTCCTCTTTGGACATATTTGTTCTCCTGTGTTATCCATCTCTTTTGGTAGAACAAGCATTTGTCATGTCACTCAAGCTAGAACTATGGATGTCCCTCTTGACCACTCCTTTGTGCCCTTCTCTCACATGGAATGAATTACCAAAATCTCCATGTTCACTTCCTTCTTCTTCATCTCTATTGGCACTCTCTTGGATCAGGCTCCTATTCTCATCTGGAGTATTACAATACTTTGATAATAATTTCTTGCCCAGTTTTGTCATTGTTGTTAAATTTTTCTTCCAACCACTTGTCAAAGAGCCATTTCTAATGCAAACCTGATAATTCCTGGCTCAGGCAGTGAGTAGTCACAGTCCTCTGTGATCTGGCCCTTGCTTACTTTTAACCAGATTACTTCCCATTATTCAACACAGCTGTTGTATGCCAGTATTACTTCATATAGTTCTCCATATGTGCTAGGCTTGTCCTAACCTCCGTATTAATGGATGATGTTTAGAATCCCTAAGACCCAAAGCCTACCATCACTGTGTCTTCAGAACCTTTTGCTTATCTTTTGGACTCCACTGGAGTCACTCATTTACTGGCATGTCTTTCTTTGCTTATCTTTATAAAGTTTAAAAATTTTAGAGCAGGGCCTGCCATATAACAAGTTCTATGTACATGTTGTTCTGATCATACTGTATTTTGATTTCATTTTCCAGCCCATTTCCTGTAATACTGGCAGAAACATTGTCCCCTTATAAAACTGTTGTAAACTTGTAAACTTTCAGATAATTCCATCTAAGTTTTATCATACCAAGTATCATTTCTTTTCCATGGCTTTCAAAAAGTAGTATAACTGAATCAAGATGTGCAAGTATTTTTATGAATTTTATACATGTAGCCATATGTTTTTCCAGAAAGCTTAATTGCTATATCTGATGTTGTAACATTTTTTCCCAATCTTATTAATCATGTTGGCTATCCTTCCTAATTTGATATCTATAAAACAATACCTCTAATACTTTAATTTATATTTCCTTGGTAAGCAAAATAGAACATTTTGTCAATTATATGCATGTTGGTGACAGCTGGCTTGTTTTTCTGTTGGGACCTGAAAATGAGTTTATATGTTTGAACAGGCTCATAATATCCTTAAGATATAAATCTCTTGTCATATTTACATTTGTTTTAATTTAATGTTAATTGTATAGATTTTTAAAGTTTTATATAATCAAATACGTTTATCAACTCTTAATGGCTTTATTTCTTACATAGCCTACGAATGTGTCCTACTAAATGTATCCATAGAATTTGTATCTTTTACATTCTGCAGTCTGTTTTTGTTGTGATTTTATTAAGTTTTAAAATTCTGAAACTCCATTCTGAAGATGATATTTTTGTATACAATCAATAGTTGATCCTACTTATGGTACACATGATAGCATTTAAGAAATCTTTCTCATTGTTTGGGATATTTGGGTAATATATTAAAACCTTCGCAAAATGTCTATTTCTGATTTCTTTTTTGTTTCCAGCATATCTGAAAGAGATGACATATTTTGCTCCATCACAGCACATAATCATTATTTGCTCACATATTTTCTTTTCCAGAAAGATGCATCATCCACATAACATAGTTTTCTTTCCTTCCTATACTATTTCATCAGTATATGGTTTTGGAAAATTGAACAGTAGTACACAAAATGGACTAATGACAGCATGATGATACTTTAGAATTTAGAAATGTAGCCAGACTGCCACTTAACTTGACTGTAGCTTTCATTTAATATTATTGGGCATGTCTTTTGATGAAGTTAGCAGACTGTTTTCCTTTTCATTTAGGCAGTGCTCCTCAGGAAAGTGGCTTGTTGTCAGAGAATCTCCTTTGTTACTCTTTAGCCATATTTATCTTTTTGCTGACTTCTGAACTAACCATGAAAATTTTCCTGTGCATTAATTAGACTGTCCTCTCTGTTCATTGTGCCCTTTGTTTCTTCTGACAGACAGCTTGTAATCTTGAAATTTTTGCTAAAGTTACCATTTTTTATGTAATTTCTTCATTCTATAGCCTATGTCCCAGTTTTCTTATATAAAGGGGATAACAGTATGTACTTTAGTCAGGATCAAATGCTTAGAAACCCCAAGCACTTAATTTCTGACAGCCAGTATGTTCTCAGTTTGTATTAACTGTTGATTCTATTGATTGCCCAATGGTTTACATGCCAGATGCCATTACACCCTGAAAACTTAGAACTTTTTAATAGAAGGTTTTCTCTTTAAGTTAAACAGTTCATTCATTACTGGTTTTTATTGATTTAGTACTTCTCAGGGTATTTTGAATGGCTCATTTTAACTTTTTTTTTAATATTTCAGAATGAAGATTTATTAAATGAAATAAAACAACTTAAAGAGGAAATAAAGAAAAAAGATGAAAAAATTCAGCTATTAGAACATCAGCTTGTAAGTATTGTAATATAGAACATAAAGTTAAAGCTTTTCAAATTTGTGCAATCTATGCTTTTTATATGATTCTGAGCAGAATTACAGTTTGACTTTTTTTTGGTATCCAAAGTTATATGATTACATAATGCTTAGCTTATATATGCTCTAATAAAAATATGTGATTTAACTTTTAGTCTCAATATGAAAGATTTAATGTGAAATTTTCTTTTGGTGGCCTTAATTTTGAGGACTTAAAATTCCCCAATTTGCATTCATTTATTAATACAGGTTCAATGTCTTTTAGATATGTTTTTAAGATTACAAGTACTGAGGACTTATTTATTTTTGCATTTCTTTCTGTGAGCAGATTGACAGTGGGTGTTTAAGCTTAGGTATCAGGTTGAAGGGGATTCTAGTAAAATGTTTTCTTCTCTATGGATGATGAGTGATCCCTCAGAGTCATACTGGAATCCTCATAATTTTATAATTTCAAATGCTAATCCCATATGAAAACAATATGTATAGCACCTTGAGTTCAACTATAATACAGTTTGTAATAATATAGAAGGCCAAGATAAAAAGAACATAAGCATAAAGTCACAATAGTCAAAAGGAAATCTTTCTTGAAACTCAAAAAACATTTGTGTATAGCAAAGCAATTCAGCCTTATGAAATACTAATTTCATCTAGAATATAAAGGATATAATATAATCAGCTTCTGAGCCACAGAGATCAGATCATAGGGATTCAATTAATGAGTAAATAGGACAGACCAGATACTGTGATTAGAGGTTCATAGAAAAGTGATTAATCTAAATAAAGAATATTCTAATACAAATTGAGGGCCTACCAAATACAAAATTACAAAGAAGGGTGATAAAACTGAATGTGAAACCTTAAGTTTCAAAGTGAAAGATAAAAACCCAGCCACCTTACAGGGAATAAGAAAAAAAACAGCATTAAGAAATTAAGTGATTTCAATTTTTATGATACAAGTTGTAGTCTAGTACATTTCAGTAAAAAGGTAATGAACTTCACATTTTATACCTAAACTTGTTTTTATTTATATACAAAGGTAAATATACCTTTAACATTTTGAAAAATAAGCCATGTCTATAAAGATTGCTTAATATAATGCATTCTATATACTTGAGAGAAAGAAATTGAAAGTAACCAAGAATAAAGTGAAGATTAAAATGAATGAATGGTAACATGGAAATCATCTTTAAAGAAAATAAGTTTGATAAGTTTCTTAACAATTAGTTGGATTAAGATTAAAATGAAATAGAAACAAAGTTTGATAAATTTCTTAATCACTACTTGGAGAAAGTTTATTTCTCTTTTTTTATAATATAATTTATACATCATTTGGATGTTGGAATTCGTAAATCTTTAATTTTTCTGAATGTAAACTTTTAATTAAAGTTTTAAGTTGCTATTTATTTTTGAAAATATTTAGATTAAATTTCATACGTTTGAGGAAAGAGATAAGGAGTGTGCCTAAGGAAGTCAGAAGTATTGAATTTCTTAATTCTACAAGTGGGTGCCCTAAGTTATTCTTTATTTTAGCATACTTAAATCATAATAATGTTTGTGACATACTTTAGGTTGGAATAATATATCTTATAAAAGATTAAAAAGTAAAGATGTATAAAGTAGAAAAATAGCAAAGAAAATCTAAAAACAGCAAAACAAAGGTAACAGAAACTAGACCAAATATGGTAGTAAATATAAAGGGTCTTAAGGAGTTTCATTGAGTTTTTAAAAGAAAAATCTGACAAATTTATATAAATTTTGGTAAAGAATATGATTCATTAAGGCCAAACATAGAATATCTCACCCCAAAAATAATATTTAGAAAGATTTCAGAAGTATGTAAGAGAATCCCAAAGAAAGAAAAAAATACAAAATAATTGAAAGCATTAATCATTAGCATTATATACCTAAGATTCTTTATATTTGGTACATTTTCTCTTTCTCCCTTCCTTGCCTGAAAATATAAAGTGCTGAATTCATGTTTCATGTGCAGTGTGCTAATATACAGTTAGATTCCAGTGCTCTTGAGAATGTAACAGAAAAGTATAGAGGTTTGTCTATTCAAACTTGATTTTATAATGCCAAGAATACATGTGTATTTTCACTTTTGTATGCTAGTTAAATTATAGTTAATTCAGATATATTTGCTCATTGAATTCTCAGAATAATCTTGTGAACTTTCTAGGGTAGAATTTTCTTTATGGAGACATGAAAGTGAAACTCAGGTTAAGTAGTTTAGCAATAATCATTTGAAAACCATGACAAATCCTGACTTTGAAACTTAATAGCCATGTTCTCTTAGGAAAATTCTGTAATCTCTTGTAAGCCTCTTCTGTAAGTGGAGATAATAATATACTAACCATGTAGGCTTGTGATAATTAAATGAACTATGAATGTAAACTACCTAATGCCTGGTCCAATGGGCGTGTAATAATTAGTAATTTTTATTAGGTGACTTGTCCCAGACTATCCAGAATTAATTAAAGCTTGCCTTATGATGTTTTAAGTTCCAAATAAAAGCTCCTAACTAAAAGTTACTTAAAAAAATAAGAGCCAGGTGTGATGGTGCATGACCGTAATCCTAGTGCTTGGGAAGTGGAGATAGGAGGATTGTGAATTCAGGGCCAACCTGGGCTACATAGCGAGGCTGTGTCTCAAAAAAACAAAACAAAGTAAAACAGAACAGAACGTTTCTAAGCTCAAATAATAAGAAAGTGTATAGATTCTGTCGATTTCAATGGTTACTTATTAGTCATTTGGTTAATGGATGAAGTGTAGCTTGGCTCTTCTGGAATGTTATTGGCTGCCCCTTCATGATTGTGAGATGTCTGCTATCGTCCTTTGTGGCACTCTCACACATTAATATCCAATTTTGGGTAAAGACCTGTTTTCTCTAACATACCTATTTTTATTTATTTTATTGTTTTATTAGCATATAATAGTTGTACAGTGGATACATTGTGTTATTTACATATGTGCTTACAGTACATCTTAGATTTACCGCTTCCATCATTCTCCCCTGCCCCCATTCTTAGAACAATTTCAACAGGTTTCATTATTTTCATATATACAAAATACATCTACCATATTCATCCTCATTCACCCTTTCCTTATACCCTCCCCCTCCCACTGGTACCCACCTTCAGAAAAGACCTGTTTTACATTCCTCTCTTTCATTTTTTAAAAAAGTGTATGTTGATAATGCAAGGGAGTTTCTAACATACCTATTTTTAAAATCAGCACTTTCTCAGAAATACCCCAGACTCTTCTTGTATTTTACTGGCTAGATTTGGGTTACTTGTCCTGTTGCAAGCATAGAGGAATGAGATTAAGTAGTTTGGTTCATACTTACCAAGATCTGGCTCCTTTGGGCAAGAGAGAGGAGAGGATACCTTTCCCTGAATAAGGGAACATACAGAAGGCGAGTATCTGCTCACAGTAAAAATGTGTCAGCAATAAAGAAAGCAGACAAAGAGGAGATAACTTGGATGAGCGTTTTCTGTTTGTTGAATTGTCACTAAAAACCAGGCTTGCCAACTTCATATGTTAGCACATAGACCACAGAAAGGAAGTTATTTCTGAAATTGCTGTAAGTCAGGATTGAATAAGTAATGTGCTTAACATACCTCCCAGATATGCTAAAGGTTAAGTCCTATTAAGTGAATTCCACAAGACTCTTAAGTATACTTGCTTATAAAGTGAATTTTGTTTCAATGACTATCCCATTTCTTGGGAATGGGAAATATATGTGAATAGAGATTTTTGTTTTTAATTATTTTGTATAAGGAAATTGGAATGATCTGGTTGCAATTAAAATTTGTTTAATATTGGTAAAGACTTAAAGTAGAAACATAATTTTAACTTGATACAGTAATCTAGAATTTGTTACATTTTCCTATAAGAAAATATACTTAATTTCAGTGGAATTGTTTAACAATTTGGTTATGATCCAGGTTCACACCAAAGGGAAATTCTCATTATCATCTTTTCATTCTTGGTATGAATTTGTTGATTATATGAGAGAACCGAGTTTACACAATAGGTACATGGTGTCATATAATGAGTGTGCTTTGAATGGATTGTGGGTAGAGAATTTATTTGTAATTTAGATAGTCAGATGGATCTTGTCATGAGGCAGAGACTCTTCAAAATATTTCACTACAATATTCAACATATCATTAAATGGGCTTTATAGCAGTGCATATATGAACAGACAACCTGATCTGTAGATAGACTACTGGTATTTGATATCCAATTGTCCCATCAAAAATGCATTTAAGAAATTGTGATTGTAGAACCAAAATAGTGTAGAGAAGTAATGTAAGTTTTACGTTATATTCTTTGTGCTACATATTGCTGCATATACTCTACATTAATACTGTGTATATTTATATACATAAAGTCATATGTAGTATGTTTGTGGACAACTCAAGAGATTCCCCAGGTCAATTTGAATCATTTGAAATTCTAGATTTACTGGCTTCCTGTTGAAGCCAGACCCAGAATAATATGGTAGACAACTGAATAGATCTTAATGTTTCTTGTAGACACTTTCATCATAAAAGTGGGCAGAACTTTGTTGCAGTGTGTGACATTTTATTGTTTGGGTTTTGTACCCCTTTGTATGTATGTGCAGAATTAAACTAAAATTTTAAATCTGTGGGTTTTTTCAGGCAACCCGATGTGACTGTCATCAAAAATCTAAAGAGGAAAAACGCACATATGCTGATAAGTACACTCAAACTCCCTGGAGAAGAATTCCTGTAAGTAACAAGTTCTTAACTCCTGTCCTTTCATTTGCTATTTTGATGTATTTTGCTGTTTTTACTCTAGTTACTAATATTTGAATCTGCCATGGCTAATTTTTTTCTTAGGTAAGTCGTTTTTTTCTGTCTCTTTGGTGTTTGTGTGCTTTCTAAAAGCTTCTCTTATATGTTCTATATAAGCGAATGTGCATTTAATAGCTTTTCCATTCTGCACATTGTAGCTCATTTTGAGTGTGTACTCTCTTCTCATTGCATGTTTTTATAAGACTAGTATTTTATGTGCCCTAAAAAAAAATAACAACCATAAGTCCAACATGCAGTCATCACCTTTAGTAGCATATACACTTTGAAGACATATAATCTAGCATATTGTTTTATTGAAGTTTCCAAATGTGTTTTGCTATTATAATTACTCACAGAATGTTGAAAGTATTTGGAAGTGTTAATACATGAAGATATAGTAGTGATAGTAAAGGTGGTGTTTTAGGCAGAGTTAGAGGATGATTTCTTCTAAACAGTAGAAAGTAACCATCTGTTCTTTGTTGTTTTTTCAAAAATGTTATATCTCAAAACGTATTTAAAACAAAAATAACTGACCGTCATTCAATATGAGTTACTCGGAACTTACTTCAGGATGTCACCATGTGCTTGTCAGTCATCATTACCCTATTGTGTGGGAGAGAATGCCTGATAAGCCAGCTTTGAAGCTCCTTTTGTTTTATACTTAGCAGCGGACTCCTTGTAACAGAAGTGTAATCAATAATTAATTAATAATTAATGTAATCAATAATTCAGCTTATAAAACCTAACTGTTGACCTTTAGAGTTTTTAAGATAGTTATTTTATTTCTTTTCACCTAATATGTAATTATTTTTGTGAGCTCTGCATTAGGTATGATGGTAGAAAGGAAGGAATTGGGGACTAGGTATAACCTTCAAAAGGCACAGCTGCCACAATAGCACCACCAGCTTGGGACCAAGTGCTAGTGGGAGACATTTAGTCTTCAAATCGTAACACCATACAAATCCATTAGTAGTAAAATTCCTGAAAGAAAAGTATTTGGTTAAAAAAAAACCCCATAGTTTCAGTAAAAAAGTAAGATCTCCCACAAAATGTTAGGTTCAATCCAATGTTGGTAGCAAAAAAACCAAAAAAAAAAAACCCAAAAAACAATCTACTGACAAATGTAAATCTTTTCCTCAATAGAATAAAATTCAATGCCTCTTCTTAAAGGAATGAACAAAAAAAAAGAATGCTAAGAATAATTTATGAAATGACAGTCACAAAAAATGGTTAAAAGAAGAACTCTAAGGTCACTTTTCCCTTCCCTGTTCCTTTTTTATTGAAAGGTAACAATATATAGTGAATAGAAAGTAAAAAGGCAAATAATTTAAGAAAAATTTGTATTACTCAAATCATACTAACGATGGACAACCATATTACAAACATGGTCTTCCAGAATTTTTTGGTAATTCGTGTTAATAGGCATGTGCAGATCTGTCAAATACATGTGGATGGAATTATGTTCCTGTACATGCTGTATTTTAAACTGCCTAAGTGGTGGTAGTGATTGCTACTCTTACTATTCTGTTTGATTTCTTGTTAAGCCAAGACTGGAGAAATGCATTACCTTAAATCAATTAAGAATAAATTCTTGAAATATATTCCCACAATTTTTTCTCTTTTCTGAAAGATTTATACAGATTTACACTGCTGCAAATAGAAGTATCATCAGAAAGTGGTTTGATAGGCATGTTAGACTCTATGATGCAAGTATTTTATATGGTTATGTTATAGGAGCCTATAATGTTTCCCTGTACAAAAGGGCAGGTAGTAGCTGCTGCTCTGATGGGACAGGTGACACCTTGGCCAGGAGCCCCACTTGAAGCATCACACCATCTTTTCTGATGGTACTAGAAGGGCACTTTTAACTATTTCTGTGATTGCCATTTTTTGTTCTGCAGTGTTATTTAAAAAATTCTGACTTTTTTCCTACTGGCCTGAGAACCATTTTGTGCCATTTTCTATAGAAATCCAACCTCTTCTTTTGTGAATTGGCTGTATAGTTTGATTCTCAGGAATCTGGAAATGTCTTTCAGACTGTAGTAACATTTATTTTTTATGTTACACATACCTTTAGTCCTGGAGCTATACTAATAAAGGAAACAGTTTTGTGTGTTATTTGTGATACTGAAATCAGCCAAGAAACAGTACTTAAATCACCTGCTGGGTGCTCCTTAGGGTATGACCACTACAGGGAGCTGCCAAAGACATGTTGTAGGCATGTCTTAGAGTACTTAAGTGTAAGTATTCAAGAATAGCATTTCCAGTATTGAGGACCTGTACGAATTGTATCTTACCTGTTGGAATGAAGGGCATGTGAGTCTGTCTTCTGCTTACAGTGGTATAAAATACACTAAGCTGTGAATCCTATGAAGGCAACTACAGTAAGACTAGTTCTAGAATTGAGAATGAAAGGCTACTCTAGAGCTATGCTGTCCCATAGAACTTTCTGTGTTGTCTAGTGTGGTAGCCACTAGCTACATGAGACTGCACTTGAAAATGTGACTAGTGTGCCTGAATAAGACTTTTGAATTTTATTTAGTTGTATTAATTTAAATGTAAATAGCCATATACTGCATTTTTAACAAAGTAGCTTTAGAGCTAACAATGTCTACTTGGACAAATATGAGAAATGTGTTTAGGGCAGTAAGTAGATGGCAAGTCAGTAAAGGCAGTTTTCAGAAGAAATGAAACAAGATTAAAAAGGTAAAATTCAGATTTAGGTAAAGGAAAAGAGGTAAGAATTAGTTGTAGGAGCAGAAGATGGTAACTTCAAAGGAGATGGAGCAAGGCCTTTTCCCTGATCTGAGAGAAAAAAAAATTCAGATAAAATGGTGAGAAGGATAACTTGAATAATAGCAGCATGGGAGGTGCCTAATCATTCACACACAAATTGTTGGAAGGACTAGGAGTACTGCTGGATAGTAGTGATTTGTAAGAAATCAAGACTTATTTTAAATACGCAAACTGGTAAAACTTTTTAAAGATAGTCTTTGCTGATCCATGCACAAGCATACACTTAAGTAAATTATAAATTAAGTGTAAATTATAAATTTTCTTGACATATGCATACTGTTAGTCATTTGTTTGAACATCGTAAGTTAGAGAAGCCAAAATATTAGGAAAAAAAGTTTCCGAGTGCACACTATAAAATCCTTTATTATGCATTTTCTTGACTCTCTCATCTGAGAGCGCAAGGGGAAGTTCAAAGGATCTACATGGCCTGTCACATAATGACGTGACCTGCATTACTGTGAAAAATTGAATGAGGATTGAGCAGACTATTAAGTCAGTATTAGAGTAAAAAGATGCCTACCAATGAAATACACAGCAAAGAAGCAAAGAAAGATGGTCTTGTATACATTTCAAATGCTTTTTGGAATTAGTTTCTAGTACTAAGTCAAAGATTAGTCCGTATCATTGCATATATCCTCCCTCCTCCCATTGGTACCAGCCCCCAGACAGTCCCTGTTTTTCCTTACTATCCTCCATACAAAAACCATATTAAATGCTTATAATTACCAAAGGAGAAATTTTTACTGACTTCCTATTACCAATCATTTTATTAGCAAGGAGCCCATCTCTCTTTTATATTTCTTGCCTTGGAGGTAGACTGACAGATACTAAGTGAAAGGAACAAGGGAGCCCAAAGATTTGTCTTATGAGTAGTCCTAAATCCTTTTTCTTTTAGATAATATGTTTTCCTGATTTAGAAATAAGCATTATTAGTTTTTATGTGGGAAAAATGTCCTTATTTTAATCTTAGATATGCTGCCACCCCCCAGTTTGGAAAATTGTAGTACTGTCATTCATCTGGGTGGATGTATTCATATATATTTATAGGTATATTTGGAGTTGATGTACTCAAAGGGAATTAAGGGACTTAATTCTTTGCCAAGATCTTTGTGTATATTCACGGTTACATTTGAAATTTGCCAATAAAAGTACTTCATGAGAAAAATATGTATACATTGATGATGTGGTCACACAATTATTTTAAATTATGTAGTTAGTATTAGACATTGGGTACTGAATGTATAACCTGTGTCAATTAACTTTATAAAAGTTGGCAGGAACTACCTATGCTGCTGAAACATTACGTTCTGACCTGCACATTTTATGATAGCACAACAGGAATTATGTATGCTTTTTATACTAGTTTTTAAAAATCAGTAGTATGCACATTTCATAGTTACATCTGAAACTAATAACTGGAAAATAGAATTGTTTTTCAAGACTAGGAACAAATTAAATATGGATCTTACAGCAATTGATTTTTCAGTTCATAAATTTAAGATAATTTAAATTTATAGTCTAAAATACTAAGTTCATAAATTTAAGGTTATCTAAATTTTTATCCTTCCAATTGAAACTATTTCAGAACTATAGAAGGCATTTCTGAAACTTTGTTTAATGTATGCATCAAAAGAAGCAGGATTTGTCTTTACTTTATTGGAAAAAGAACTGCACCAGAGTTTTCTACTACTTAGGACCATTTCACTTGTGAAATGTAGTTTAATTTGCTTACTTATTTGTTGAAGTATAGGCAAGACAGACAGAAATTTTACTCTTAGCATTTAATGCTAAGAGGTCATAAAAGTTGCTCTTATTTAATATGTTGTAACAGTGATAATTTATTCATCCTCTGTGGGAACATTGACTTTTTAGATAATTATGAAACAACTCTAAAGATGCATTAGGAAAATACATTTTCTAAATGTCAAAAGAAATCACTATTTCGGGTGCTTGTTTAATAATAGTACTAAATTTTTTCCCCTAGGGATGGCCTCTGCAGTGTTTTATGCTCAGATGGTTCCTTTAAAAACTTATATTAGACTGGGCATGGTGGCTCATTCCTGTAATCCCAGCTACTCAGGATGCTGAAATAGGGAGGATTGCAGTTCTAGGCTAGCTTCACAAAAAGTTGGTGAGAC